CGGGTTGAGTCACAATGACTAAGGCCGTGGGTCTCAAATACTGGCACCTGCCTCCTGAATATGATTCGGACACTGGTGGTTTAGGGAAGGACTGGACATCATCATAGTGCAGAGCAGGATTCACTATTAAGACTTACTGGGCTCTGGTGACTGGCTCTTTCCAGTGCCCTTGGCTCCCATCACAGTTTCCATCCCATTCAAATGAATGAGTCAATGTGTGTTCCTAAGGGATTAAGTAGATTTGGCCACAGAAAATGTCTCCTGCCCCTCAAAGACCAGTGTTTCATGTTTTGGTTTGGTTTCACAGCCCTCAAAAATTTGTGGTGAGGAATATGAACTTGGCTGTGGGACACCCTTAGTTCAAAGGCTAGGATACCTGGGAAAGTTATTTAACCCTTTTGAACTTTGGCAAAAGTGAGTAGATAGTAATGGCTACTTCTGTGTTGTGTGAGGCTTCAATGAGGTCATGCATGTAAGTTTTTAACTCAGTGTGTCACGCCTCCAGCCCTTTCAAGCCAATAATAGAACTGAGTACACAGCTCTCTGTTCTCTGGGGCAGTAGGTACAACAGGCTCTTTTCAGGTCAAGGCTAGGCAAGGGTCATCTGCAGAAATCCCTGAAGTCTTGGGTCAGTGTGAAAGAAGAGCAACTTTCCTTAGCACGTGTAACATTAACCCTTTTCTCTTTTTAAGGGGCAGCATCAACTGATCTAGAGAGAAGACTTTCGTGCTCATTCTTGAAAGATGGTCCCTGCCCTTGTAAGAAGTGAAAGTGAAGCCGATAACAGCTGACTTCCCAACACCTAGAAAAAAAATGTGCTTGGTTTTCAAATGAGATTTTTATTTATTTATGTATTTATTTATTTTTCAAAGTGTATATTTTAATACTTATGTTAGTATTTAAAGACATGAATGTGTTTAATCAAACACAATCAGTCTCATTGTTATTTAATTTGAATGTGATGGTTTTGAAATGTGTCATGGAACTCATTTACTGGAAAGTCAGGTGTTAGATATTGAGCTGGCATGGCCAGAGGGAAGTGTGAGAAAGGTCCAGGTAATTCAATAGTGCTGTTAGGGTCAGGGTGAGTGTATACATAGATACTTCTGTGATTGTTTAAAAGAATGTCAGTTGCTATTTATTGAAATGATTTCATATTATGTGGTCAACATTTTATGTTGAAGTAGCCCTTGGACATTTGATGTCTTCCTTGTAAGGCATAATGCCTTGTTTAATGTTCATTCTAATGTTCTCTTTGTCTCAAAACAGAGAAGTTAAAGTTTATGTTTTTATAAAAATGACAAAATAAAAAAATCTTGCAAAAAAGAACATGCTCAGGTTTTGTTTTATTCTTCTTGATCTTTGCTTTCTACTGGATGACCAAGTAGGAGTTAGACTATATCATGTCTAACCTTTTGCCCACTCCTGGCCACTACTTCCCTTATATTTCTGTTAGTCAATAAGAAATATTTGACACATTTCCCTTATATTTCTGTTAGTCAATAAGGAATATTCCCTTGAGAAGCCTCGCTTTATATAAAATACTGTTTTTCAAACTGATTAGTCATTATTCAAAATTAGTTCTTCATAAACTTTAATTTTTATAAATGTTTTAACAAGAGTTTTTACTAAGTGCTTTTGGTAATTAGGCTTTTCAAACATTTATGCAACTTTTTCCCCTCTGATGAGTTTGGGTACATGCATTCTTAACAATTAACACAATATGTGCTACATGAAATAACAATTATAATGACCTATGGAGAAAAGCACATGGTGTAAAGTAAAAATAATATAAAATATAAGGGATGGATAGACAAATGCATTTAGAATATGATATATACCTTCAATTGTTAAAGTATTAAGAAAAACTAATGTGAAAAGATTATAACAATTTTTAGGGCAACTATAAAAAAGGCAATGCAAAATTTTGGATATAAAAATTTGAAAAGGAGATAAAATGAAGATTGCTGGAGTACAAAAGAAGACAAAAATGAAGAAATAGGGCTCTCCTTAGTGGAGCAGCAGGTTAAAGCACCAAACTATGAAGCTCCAGAAGCCACTGCAGTATAAGTTTGATCCCCAGTCAGGGAGCTGACCCACATGGTGTGGCAGACCTCTCCTGACCTGCCCGCTGCACCCCTCGCAGAGTATTTCAATAGATCTGCCTGTTCTGCTCCCCACTCTGTCTCTGATGAAGCGTCTCACCGCCCCCCCCCCACCTCTGGCCTGTACCCGAGTTCTATAAGCATAAATAAATAAATCTTTTTTTAAAAAATGAAGAAATAAAGCAGCAAAAACAATGGGGAACAATCTTTTAGGAGAATGTCTAATTATGTCAGTATTCTCTTTCCTGAAAGTGGGGTTTAATTTTGCTTTCACTGGGAGGGAGAGCTAGGCTTTTTAACATATTTCCAAAGAAACAATTAGGAAAATAAAATACTGTGTAGAAATCTAGTAGGTACCATATAACCCAGGTATTATCAACAGTCATGATATGTGAGTAACCCTATATGATGTAAAGGGAAAACAGCTTATCTCTATACTATTCTCCTACCCAAAACTTGTAACCCTAGCATCACCCTAAATTATAAAAATCCAAATTAAGGGCCCTCCCTGGTGGCACAAGAAGTTAAACACAGCACTGTAAAGCTATCCGCAGCCACTGCATCATAGGTTCCATCCCTGGTCAGAGGTGGCCTACATGGTGTGGCAGACCTCTCCTGACCCACCCACTGCTCCCCTCAGCAGTGTATTTCAGTCCATCCGCCTGTTCTTCTTTCACTCTATCTCTGGTGAATCATCTCACCCCCCTCTGGCCTCTACCCCACTCCTTGTATGCATAAATATATTTTTTAAAAATCCAAATTAAGGAATATCTTATAAAATACCTAGCATTATTCTTCAAAATTGTCAAAGTCATGGAAAGCAAGACAAGACTTAGCATCTGTCGCAAATTAGAGGGGACAAAAGAATTAGGATGTCTAAATCCAATGTTGTGATATGCTGGACTGAAAAACATTCATTGAAAATTGGTGAAATATGAATAAGGCGAGGATTTAGTAAGTAGCAATTTACCAATGTCAAATACTTAGGTCTGACAAATGTATTATAATTATAAAAGATTTCAACATTAGAAGACATGGGGCAAGAGGTATACAGGAATTCTATGTACTCTCCATACATAGTTTTTATTATAATAAAATCATTCCTATTTAAAATATTTTTTTAAAGAAAAAGACAAGGAGAATACCAAGATAGTATATTATCTTCAGAATTATAATAAATTTAAGTGGAATAATCACTACAATTAAAGGTCAAAGATTTTCACTTTTTTTTTAGGTCAAAAACCATAAAAATAAGTGTGTGCTTAAAAGGAATATACTTTTTATATCAGAAACCAGATAATTTAAAATTTAGAGAATTGAAAGTGGTTGTCACTAAAACTAACTGGAAGAAATGAACATGAGTATATTATCATATTAATTACACACTAAAATTATTAACAAACATTTTAATATTACTAATAAATAGTACATTAATTAAATCCTATTGAACATATTAGATAGTAAGGAAGTAATATTAAAACTAAAGGAGAAATTGAAAATAAAAAGGCTGCAATTCTTCAAGAAACAAAACTATTCTAAACTTTTATGGATTTAATAACATTGCATCAAATATATAGAGAGTATGTATAGAGTATCAAAATATATAGAGTAACCTGGAAAGAAAGACAATGAAGCAATAAATGAAACTATAATTATAGTGAAAGATTCTAGGAGACTTTTCTCAATACTTGATAGACAAACAATAAAGAATCAGTGTAGAAGATTTAAACAACATGGTCAACCAACTTGGTCTGAGTCACTTAATATAAACACTTTACCCAAGAATTGCATAAATCATTTTGTTTTTCTCACATGTAAAGGACATTTTCTAAAAGACACCATACAGGACCATAAAGAATATAACAAATTTTAAAATGCTGAAACATTACAGAGGACATTCTCTGATATCAAGTTTTATGATGATTTGAAATTTTCTATATGATGTAATAGGTTTACTGTGAGTTTTGCAACATATTCATTACTACTTCCACAAAATGCTTATAAAAATCTTAAGGAAATGGTTATTTTATGTTGAAATTATTCTTTTAAAACCCTAAAAGAATGCCCAAGTCAAATACACTTTGATGCTACTCAGTGTTAATTAAAATGAATTTAAATAATTCAGCATTTTAAGTACTACATTGCTGAAATCATCAGGATTTTACTACGGGAACAGAAGGGGAAGACTGGCTGTGTTGCTAAAGGAAGTATGTAGATTCAGTAGTAAATCTTTTGCATCACTGTCCACTGGAAAATTTTCTGACCCTTCATGAACCCATTCTATAAAATTTGGAGTAGGGGTCCCTTCTCATGTCTACAAGCTTCAGTACAGTTTATTGTGCTTTCTATTAACCAGTTTTTTCCCCTAAAATCTTCCACTTATACATTCATCTTCCCTACTGCACTAAGACTCAGAGGTCAGCAAAGTCTGTCCTCTCTCTCTCTTACCTCCCCCCCCCAGAACCCAATTTAGAAATGCTGAATAAATGATCGATGAAAATGCTGAAACAAATAGGGAAAAAAGGAATTCAACTCAAGTTGAAATGTTCTTCTAGTTCAAAAGATAATTCTAGCAGTAAGGGGAGGTAATAATAAAAAAAAAAAATCCCAGCTCTGAATGGCTTAATGAAATGTGAATCTTTTGACCTCCAAGTAGATAAGGATGGTGGCTGAAGTCCAAAAATGCTGTTCCGTTATCAGTTTCACCCCAGGTCACACTGCTTTTCTCGGTGCTTCATTTTAGCAACTTCTCCTCTAGCACTGGCAAAGCTCCTACTTTGTATTGCACCATGTATAACTCAGCAGGAAGTAAGGGCCTGTTTTTCCCCAGCGACTTCCTTACAAAAAAGACTCCAGTGGATTTTCCTGGCTCCATCAGGCTGAGGTCACTTGACCACCCTTGCATCTACCAGACCGGCTTGAATGCTGTCTAGTAGCACTGACCAATACTACAAAAGTCATGGACCCACTGGAGCTCTAGAACAGCATCACATTCCCTAACTACTCAGATTGGGAAAACGAAGAGTTGGTTCCCAAAGGATAACCAAGTTTCTGTAACCAGAAGAAAGAAGATAGGACTCAGGCTAACCAGACAGAAATGACAAATGGACTGGAGTACTGGTCAGGTGGTGACCTGACACTAGATGGAATGTTCTGGACTAAAGAAACTCATCTGGAGATTCATTGCTGCATTCAGTCATCCTTATGCCTTTTCTTTTCCCCTTAGAATCAGAGGCCTTCTTCCAGAAAACCAAATCACAACAAATTGAAGTTGGCTGTTATGACAATATGTAATCATAACAGTCATACTAATTCAGGATTTTATTATTATTATTTTCACCTCAGTATTTTAAAGGTGCCCAAGGTAGTTATCAGTCAAATTTGCAAGATGCAGTAGAAATGGTAGCTCTAACTGGAATTTAGTAACTCATGTTTTAATTTTGTAAATTGTTGTGTTGGGCAACACCACACTGATAAAGAGACAGGAGTCTTGGAGTAGGCTACATAACACAGGATGCCGCTAAAGAGCAAGATCCTGGCCTTTGTATTGGTAGACTAATCATACAGTATTAATCATGTGAGAAGTAAAAAAGAAAGGGGGAATTCGAAGAATCTGAGGGAAAGGTGGAATTGTGCATCTACTGATAGTTTTGTATGTAGAACAGCCCTGATTCCCAGTCAGGATTTCAGTCTTACCAATAAGGCATTCCACTGAGCTGCTTCTGGGAGTCCTTTGTTATAATCAGTCAATGGCCCCCCAGGCATTCCTGGTCAGACCTTGTGATGTATAAATCAGGAGTTAAGTTATGAATCTGTCTTCAGCCCCCTGGGCACCTGGTCATACCTGGTGCATACCCTCCCCAGGGTGATCTAGCTTTATGCTCTTAATTGATATGAAAGGTGCTTCATAGGGTTGTGTTCTTGCAATGGAGGCTGGATAAGCCACCTAGGATTAGCAGACCCCCAGGAAATGAGTCTATTCTTTTAAGATTGAGATTACATGAGTTTATAAAGTTTGAGCACATAGCTTCTCATTAAGCTCATAAATAATTAACTAGTGGGGAAGTGTACCTATTAACAGATTTGGATTATTTCAATTGATGTTAAGGCATCTCTCTTTTTAAATTTTTTTTGAAAAAAATTCAGTCCATTCAAGGGATTGATTATAAGAATGGATATAT